GTAGAGATGGGGTTTCACCATGTTGACCAGGATGGTCTCGATCTCTTGACCTCGTGATCCACCCGCCTCGGCCTCCCAAAGTGCTGGGATTACAGGCGTAAGCCACCGCGCCTGGCAAAAGCTGATATTTGTAAGCTGTTGAATCTGCAAAGTCAAAGGCTCTAGATGGTGGGTGAGTGCTGGGGATATGTGGCCAGATCGGTGAGCAAGGGTCAGATCAGAGAGGGGACCTTTTTTTTTTTTTTTTTTTTTTTGAGATGGGGTTTCACCATATTGGTCAGGCTAGTCAGGCTGGTCTCAAACTGCTGACTTCAGGTGATCCTCCCAACAGAGAGGACCTTTATATAAGATCATTATGAACTGTATCCTGAGGGTACCAGGGAGCCATGGGAGGTTTTGAGCAGATTCAACCACTGCTGCACCTTGGAAGGTAGGTTGAGTCTCTGAGAGCAGAGGCAGGGAGACCAGGGAGGAAGGAGGCTGGGTGTGAATGTATAGGAGCTGCTGTGACTTGAGCTGGGGCAGGAACCCTTTCAGGAAGGAGCACTGGCCTGGCCCTGCCCTTACGAGGCTCCAGCCCAGGCCAGTCCCTAAGGACAGGGCACAGAGACATGGGCTATGCCTGCCCCTCGTGCTCATACACAGAACTCAGGTTGTGAGTTTCATGTTTCACCCTGCCACCAACATGTTTTACATTTGTTGTTATAGGTGATATGAGCAAAATTTCATAGCAGGGATTTCTGTCATTAGGCCAATGAAGAAACTGAAGCAGTGGGTCTCTAACCACTCCCCTACCCTTCATCCCACCATGTGCCCACAGCCCCCGACATGGCTCCCACAGCATCGTCTCATGTGACCACTCCTGCTGTGTGGGGAAGGATGCCACTGGTGCAGGGGATGCTGAGGCTTACCAGGGCAGGCCGAGCAGGGCTCTGGCTACCATTTTCCAGATGAGGAAAAGTGAGGCCCTGACAAAGGAAGAGTCTCGATTGAGGTCAGTCAGCCAGTGAGGGGCAGGATGAGGGCCTTGAGCCACCTCCCAACTTCCAGACTGTGGAGCTTTCACTACCAAAAGTGGCAGTGAGCAGCACTGGTGATGCATGTGCCTGGCACACTTCAGTGAGTCCTGCTGAGCCTTTCCTCCCTGAATCCTCACGATGCCCCAGGCTGGTACCACAATTAGTTCCATTGGACAGGGGAGGAAACTATAGCCTGAGAGATTAAGTGACTTGCCCAGGGTATCCCAGCTAGGAAGAGAGAGAGCCAGGATTTTGAGACAGAGTCTAGCTCTGTCACTCAGGCTGGAGTGCAGTGGCACGATCTCAGCTCACTGCAACCTCCACCTCCTGGGTTCAAGCCACTCTCCCACCTCAGCCTCCTGAGTAGCTGGGATTACAGGAATGTGCCACCATGCTAATTTTTGTATTTTTAGTAGAGATGAGGTTTCATCATGTTGGCCAGGCTGGTCTTGAATGCCTGACCTCAGGTGATCCACCTGCCTTTGCCTTCCAAAGCGCTGGGATTACAGGTATGAGTCACTGTACCCAGTCGCCAAAAGCCAGGATTTGAACTCAGGCTCTCTGGCTCCAGCTCCCAGGCCCTTAAGCACTTTTTTTTGTTTTTTTGAGACAGAGACTTGCTCTGCTGCCCAGGCTGGAGTGCAGTGGCACTGTCTTGGCTTACTGCAACCTCCACTTCCCAGGTTCAAATGATTCTCCTGCCTCAGGCTCCTGAGTAGTTGGGATTACAGGCGCATATCACCACGCTCAGCTAATTTTTGTATTTTTAGTAGAGACAGGATTTCACCATGTTGGCCAGGTTGGTCTCGAACTCCTGACCTCATGATCCGCCCGCCTTGGCCTCCCAAAGTGCTGGGATTACAAATGTGAGCCACCGTGCCCGGCAAGTACTTTCAATAATGATGATAATAGTAATACCCACTGTACTGAGTGGACACTGTGTGCCTTACCCCAGGCTTGGGACCATTTCATCAACCCCACCTGATGCTGTGAAGCAGATTGCCAGGCCTGTTAAGGGGTAAACTGAGGATCAGAGAAGGGAGGCCCCTTGCTGGGGGCCACCTGGTTGTCAGAACTTGTCCAATGCCTGTCCTGGCAGTTCTGAGGAGTGCCTGCCTAACAACACCCATGCTGAGGTATCCAGGATGCCTTCAGGTCCCTGAACAGCCGGCCCTTTCATTCTTCTCCCAGAGGCCTCCCTAAACCCTTGGGAGGTAGGCAGCTTGGGGCCTTTTCCCCAAGAGGCCCAAATAGGGCTGACTGTGTCCGGTGGTATAGTGAGGTTGCAGGCCTGGTCCCTTCTGCTGGCCCGTGCCAGGGCCTGACCCTCCATCAGAGGGCAGCAGGTGTGAGGGGGCGGCCCAGGGCAGCCTGCCTGCTCCTGCCCCCCGCCAGGCATTTGCTTCCTCTGGGGGACTTGCTGGGGCAGGCAGCCGGCATTCTCAGCATTCTGCGCATGGCATGCCCAGCCAGCTGCTGTTGCCACCTCCCTGTGACTCTTCCCGCCTGCTCCCCAGGAAAGGATTCCGCCCCAGGGCCTGCAGCCCCAGTCCAGGAGTCCAGATGTCTCAGCCCCATTCCTGGTATGGCCTCCCTCCCAGCTCCCAGCTTCCTGCCTGGCTTCCCCTTGTTGACAGGGGTTGCTCCTTCTCCTGGGCTTCTGTCTGGCGGTCTGGCTCTACTGTCTGTCTTATCCTTGGCTTGCTGTGTCTCTCTCTGGTCTCTATTTCTAGGTCTATATGTGTGTCTCTCTCTGGACCACTGTCTGTCAGACTCTCTTTGAGTCTGATGGCTCTCTATGCCCTCCTGAGTT